TGATAGTTTTGTGGCCTTGATTGAGGTTTATTTACTATAAAACTACTATTTGAATTGGATGATTAACTTGAAGAGATATAGAGACACACTGCTGGATTTTCTCCTTGTTGGTCAAGTGAGGGTTAAGATGTGAATTTAGGATATTTTGTTTTCCGCTTGTATATGATTTTACTCAAAACACTTGTTACAATCTATTTCTTTGCATGTGTGTTAGTTTTGAGCCAAAACAAAGAGGTTTAAGAAGGGAAAAACCTAGTTTTTCAAACTAATTGCTTGCTGGAAAATTTTCGTAGGAAGCCCTGCACAACTTTGGGAAATTGGCTATAACTTTGTATAGGAAAATTGGAATTGAGTTCTGTTTGTTGTATTTGAAACTAGACTCATAGGGCTTTCAACGGTATAAAATTCAAGGTTTGGTTCAACTTCTATAAATACCAGAAAATCTGTAAAGTTTCTTGAAAACCCTGACTGTTCTGTTTTTGCACATGAGACATCAGTGAGTTTGAACTGAAATTTGACTAACCTATGAGTTGAATTTCATGAAGATGTCTTCTAAAGCCTATTTGTGTTTCGAATCTATTTTCTAATGGTGTAAGTTTTGTGATTTTTTGACCTACGAAACTCAAGTTATGCTTTTTCAAAGAATGTCACCAAAACTAGGAATTTTGTCAAATGAATTGAGTGGGACTTGAAAAAATTTTGGAAAACTTTTCTAGGTTTTAAACCTTAATTTGGTGTGATTTTGGATGCTTAAATTGCTCTCCTCACTTTTAAAATACTTGTGTTGGATTTTATTCTAAAGTCTCGAGTTCAAAGTGAGAAGCATATGAAATGCCTTGGAATATAGATGTGTATGTTTTGGCTAGTTAAATCTACTAAATTTAAATCTATTGTGATTGTGAATCTTGCCTCAAGGTTTGGTAGCGATCAAGGTTATCATCCAGAGAGTTAACGTTTAATCTACTGATATCAGTGAGTGTTCCTTGCACGTTGTGCTTCCAATAACTATATGGAATGTTGTGAATATTTGCTTGAATGTTAAACGCTTTTCAGTGGTTGTTAAATGGATTTTCAATAGGTGAGTGTATACTTTATCGCAGTCAACCTAACTGAATGTGAATTTTTAATGATCAAATGATTGAATGTTACTTATGCATGAATGTAAGCCTTTGGCTGAATTGGACCCTTGCCCTTCGTTGCTAGTCAACTTGAGCCAGAAGCGGACTCGATCGGGCGGCTGGTGACCCTAGGACAGTGTTTTGGTATACTCGAGTATAACCACGAAGTTGGGTGGAGTAATGGCCAGTGAATGCAATGCAATGATTGAAATGAATGACTGAATGAATGAATGAAATGAACACTGAAGGAGTTTTCATTTTTAAATATTTTCAAATGTTAAAGCAATAAGGAAAATGGTCAACGACTGAATGACTGAATGAATAGCTCCAAATGAGCACGTATCCTTCCAATGATTGAATGTTTGTTTCTTGAATGACTGTTTATTACTATGCAAAGTGTGCAAATTGTTAATGTAATACTTCCATGTTTTATCTATCTGACTGCTTGTTTGGGAATTTCACTGGACTTTTAGCTCATTTCTTTATATTTGTTTTCCTTACAGGAATGGAGGCTGTAACAAGTAAGCGTGAAATAGTGTGTATAATCTTCATGTACTTGTACTTTTGTAGATGAAATTGTATTTGGAATCTTTGGTAATGTACCCTTATGTTTCACTTTTATGTTGTAAATTAAATTGGAATTCTTGGATGAATGGAACTTTTATGTTAATCTAGAGGCGTGAAAGACTATTTCAAAAATGTTAGTGATTGAGTCTTGACGAGAGTTGGGCAGGCGGTCCGCCAAACCCTTGAATACGCCTTAGAGGAAGGTGGGGTCGTCACAGTTAATCTCATGATCAAATTTTTAAAATTTTTCTTAAAACCTATAAGATACGTAAATGTATAATTGTCTTTTCAATTCATATAAAAAGTAGAACAATGTTTTGACTGGATATAAAAAGGAGAGCTACTTATCTTATATCAATTTTGTTAAACAAAAAATCTTTTTTTTGAATATTAAGTCCCAACATTTTGTTTTTGCTGTTTTACAACGCAAGTAAAATAAATCTTGACTAGATAAAAGACTAAAGTAGATGTTAACCAGTCTAGGTATATAATATAGCACCCAACTAAACATGAGATTAAATAGCTAATGGACCCCATAGTACAATGAGGCCTCAAACCAATGGCATGTCCCTCACTATAAGTTGATTCCCAAGTTTGAAAATTCAAACATATATTAAAGCCCGAGTGTATAGTGGGACCTAAAATCAATATTATCCCTCACTATAAATCTATTCCAAAACGTTAAACTCATTTCAACATCCATATCTGTTAGATAATTCATTATGTCTTGAGTAAAATTATATGCGAGTACAAAATTTACATTATTGACTAATACAGTCATTTCTCATTTTCTTTTAAAATATCAAACATGTTCAAAAAATGGATGTGGTTATAAAGCTGCTTCTACTATTAGGTAGAACTATTGTAGGATACACCTTGAATGTTTTACATAATTATTTTTTTGAATAGACTATTACTATTAATGTTGAATTTGGGTGCCCCTAAGGCTTTAGAAATTAGAATGGACACATAATAGTTCAAAATTTTTACCAAGCACAAAAACATAAAAGAAACTAGCATATCTAACCTAACAAAAAAGTGATATAGAAAAAAGAACCTTAGAGTATATAGCATATACTTCACCTGCATTGCTATAGAGTTTGAGAAAGTTTGCTATAGTAGAAATTTTATCTACTTGTAAATTCAAAATAATTGTTACTATATTATTAAATAATTAAAATTAGTAAGTCTAAGATAAGAACGAAGATATATTGAGAAGGAGAGATATTAGTTTTCATCAACTAATAGGAGAGAGACAAAGAAACAAAGAGAGAGAGAGAGAGAGAGAGAGAGATTGAAGCATACTATAATTTAAAAGTAGAAGTATTGAGGGATTTCCAAATGAAATTGATTGAATTTAATAAGAAAGAAGAAAGAAATACAATTTGTTAATTTAGGAATATCTTCAATTACCGCATAATGCACTTTGCCTTTGACCAAGATTAAAATTGAAAGTTTAAGCATAAATGTTGACTAACTATTGAATTCTAATTAAGAATAAAAAATAATTCAAAATGATGATTGCAGTAGCATAAAAAATATATCAACAAGACCAACTAATATTGAATTTACCATTGGACTAACCTGTGCCTATTCTTTGATGCAATTAAAGTTTCAAATTTATTTTTTGATTCAATTGCTTGTTGGTTTAATTTTGCTAATTTGTACATGAAAATACTATCTATTAGGATTTGTTTTGCAATTATGTGTGTATATAAAAAAAGTTTTAAGGATAACTTAATTTTAAACTTGAATTCATGAATTGTTATTGTTTATCCCTCTATATTTAAGATAAGCACAACATACAACATGTAATATACCCTAAAATAATTCTTACTCTCCCTATCAACTGCCCAATGAAAACAAAATGATAAGAAAAAGAATACAAACGAAAAGAACGATGACCTATAATTGTAGTAGGATACAAATACATTAAGTAGATCAAATGTTGAATTTGTCATTAGGTTGGCCCATGGCTATAGGCCTATTCTTTGATATAGTTAAATTTTATATATAAAATTATCTATTCATATTTCTTTTACCTACATGTGTACAAATTTGGTCTAGCTGTTATATAACCTTAAGATTGGATTAATATTTTGGTTGTTCTTTGTTCCTCAACTCTTAGATGGCACAACATTATACACATGCATTTTTTATATCAATGTAAATATTATCTGAAAAAGTAGAAATTGAAATCAAAACAACCCATTTCATTCTCTTCTTAGTGCTCTTGTTTATATTATTTCCCTTAAAACTTCACCAAAAAACCTACAAATTTTGTAATTTCTTAGAATTCTCAGCCAATTGGAACGAGGACTGTAATGATGTTTTTGATCATGAGGCAGATAAGTGTTTGACTAATTTAATATATAGATACAATATCTATTACCCTCAATGCTTTCATTGGCGGTATGGTCAGAGCCCACAAGCAATTCAATATACTGGATTTCGATAAATACACTAATAAATATGGCTTATCATACTTTAACCGGCCCAACATTTAAGAGGCATTACATGTTAATGTCATGAAAATAGTATATGATTGGTAGTCATGACATGACATTCTTAAGAATTGGATACACTTGCAATCGATTGTACTTTCTTATCTTGAAGAGTTCTTAACAAATGGAAGAGTTGTGAGAACCCGAGAAATTAAGTGTACGCCCTAAAATTATTTTATTTTATTTCCTTTGGTATTAGGAAATTATATATAACGAATAAACGGTTATCTTAAATGCCTAATTGAATCCCTATAAATTAAGAATTTAGAAAATAAATTCAATAAGTACATATCTAGAAGTGTAGAAAATTTTATAAATCAAATAAATAGATGACGTGCATATCGTAAATTGTGTTAATTGCAAATATTACTAGACACATAACATACATTAGAAATTTAACAAGGTCATGTTGAATAAGTATTTCTTCAAGCTAAATATGTCAAATCGACTAGATTAACGTAAGAAAATTTTCCCCCGAAAATACGAATGAAATTAGGAGTCCAGGCATGAAATCATGAAATTTTAGACCTTAGAGAGTAATTAAACTACAACTAAAAGACCAAACTAACCTTAAAATTCTAGACTAATTACCATGCGGCGATCACTTGAGCTATCAGAATATCACAAAAACAAATGGAACCAAATGGAAGCTAGCCAATTATCTGCTAAATCCAAGCGGTGGGAGCTTACGATCTAACTGAGATTGGGCGGTGAATAACACCTGTAGGACAGCTGCCATTCAATTGCTAAGTAAAGTAATGATCAAAGGGAGAAAGGAGACAGCGTGACATTACCTGGGCGGTGGCCGAATGAAGAAACACATTTCACTTCTTTTCTTACCAACCAAATGTTGAGAGCAAGATCGAGAGAGACTCAGCCATATTTTCTTCCATTTCAGTACACCATCAAGAGGGAGAAAAGGAAACATTTCTGATTCCCTCTTGCGTCCAGTTGCGACCGATAGAGTGAGGAGGAGAGGGTAGACAGTAGCTAAATGCATTCTTCCAGCTTGGGACTGTAGAACTTTGAGTCTGGTGCAGCTTTGGAAACTGAAGCAGGAACCAAACAAGCAGCCTGCAATTCTTTTCCAAACTTTAAAGGGGAGGAGGTAAGATCCTTAAACACCAGCTACATGTTGATTTTAGCTAGGAATTTGAGCTTGTAACTGAAGTAAATGTCGGGCAGCAACTGTGAAATCTCAGAAAAATTGCAGAAAAACTGTGTGTTAAGCTTGAACTTGCAACTGATATCAGAATTCCTTGGGATAATAACGTTAAGAAGTGCATGCAACGGATTATTTTGTTCTTTCTTCAGTTTAAGAGCATAGTTGTAGGTCAGTGAGTGTGAAGTAGAGAGAACCGTACGTGAAAGAACTCTGATGCAAGCTGCTGTACCTCAGTTTTGCAGCCTTGCGCAGAGCTGAATTCATTCAGCTTTCCTTTTGAAATTTGGTCATGCACTGCCCCGTTTTGCTTAACTTAAAGTTGAATCAATATACTTTGTACAATGATCTGGAACATGAAACTGAGGTGAATCAAGAGGGGAAAATTCAGCTGCTAAGCCATTCTTTGCTGGAATCTGTTAGCTTCATCTGAGTAATCTGATAAGAAGCTTTGGATATTTCTGCAACACCTTACTTCTAAACTCACTTACAGAGTTGAAACCTGTCCTAATGCACCTAACTTTAACCAGAAAAACAAGAATGAGTAGGAACTAAACTGAGTGATGAAGGGGGGAACAAGTTCACTGATTGCAGGTTGTTATCCGAGAAATGAAACAGATTGTGCTTCTGACCGTCCCCTTTTGGCCTTGAAAACGCGATAACTGGATGTTGATGTCTTCATAGGAAATGTAGGTCTAGGTCTTAGCTTCGAAACGCTATAAAATTTACCTCAATCTGATAAGCGTAGCTCCAATTATTATCAAAACACCCAAGGATGGCAAAGCTGCCTTTCCTTTTGTTCCAGAATGCACTTTGCTAAGATGCTAACCGTGAGGAACCAACTTTTAACCAGCATTTCCTCTAATTTTCAACTTTGTAAGCTTTCATAAATGATAGTTACAGTTAGTCTGAGATTTAATGGCTATATATAGCTTCACAAGTAGAGTTAAACTAAAGCAAATGAGAGGAAAACTCATGATAATTATGTACCTAAAATTGGCTTCTAATTACTTAATACGGTCCTTACAAATATATTAAATATTTTAAAGACTATCAAATTTGAGGGACTGGTGTAGTGGAATAAAATTTAATTTACAAATAACCTAGAGTTTAATTAATTGAAAAGGGGACCAATGGAGTACTCCTAAGCTATAATCTTAGAATTTTGAGTGGAAAATGATTTAATCCTAAAGGAAACATCTTATAAATTATTAACTTGGGAAAACAGGTATAATTCTTGATTAAAACAATAAAGTCAATAAGTTTCAAAATAAAATGATAAATGAATATTGAATATATTATATTTGTACTTTAAAGTCAAATAGTTCAAGTGATAAAGTAAGAACAATAAGTGAACATCTACAAACTATGTATTTGATTTGGCATTATTAACTTGTCCAGGAAGTAGCTGTGAACCAGAAAATCGACTCGAGACTCGAGAGTAATTTATTTGGATATTTGGTGAGTGTTTCCCGAATTTATGTGTTAAACTGCTTATGTGTACCTAAGTGCAATTATATGGCAAATGTGCTTATTATGAAATATTGCTAAGTGATTCATTGTGAAGTGTTTTCAATTGTCCCTCGCCTTCTAAGTCGATGGTGTACTTCATCGCACTCGGTTTAGTTGAGCTTGAAGGTTGATAATTGATCAAGTGATATTGTAAGTGTGCACGACTGTAAGCCGTGTGTGTACTTTATCACACCAGCTGAACTGGGCCCCAAAACCCTCTGTTCAACGGACTATTCGAGCCAACAAAGGGCTTGGTCGGGTAGGACGGTAGCTTTGGATAAGTGTTTTGGTATGCTCGAGTATTACCACGGAGTAGCAGATTACTAATATTGATATGACCATCCAAGTGAGGGAAGTGTTTATTGTTTTGGAGGTTATAAGGAGGAGTTTGGCGGAGTGTGTAGTGTATTGAAGTGGCTCTAATGCGAGCACCGTATCCTTTTAAAAGTGATTATTCAGTGAAGTGTTTCCTCAATTGCTAATGAAAGTGATTGTATAGTGAAATGTGCACTACTTGCTTAATTGTATTGATGTTAAATGTTACTTATTCGGTAAACCTCACTGGGCTTTAGCTCAACCTTTTAGCTTTGTTTTCCTTATAGGGGTTGAAGTTTGAAGGATGATCGAGTAGCATTAGAGTGTTTTGAGTGGTCTAGTGTTATATATTGATGATAAGACTTGCATTTTGTACCTATTAATGGATAGATTTCTATTTCACACTAGTTGGTGATGTACTTAAGTATGAACATTTGGACGAGTTACTTTTGTAATTTGTAGTAGATAAAGCTTTTGTCTTACTAAAAAGTATTAAGAATGGATGTTTGGATGATTAATGAGAATTGTTATCTCTGAAATTAATGTTAGTGAGTGAGTCCTGGCGAGAGCCAGGCAGACGGTCCGCTAACTTCTAGGGTATGCCCTAGGGGAAGGTGGGGTCGTCACAAGAGTTCTCGTAACTGGATCACGATATATGATAAAATGTTAAATATTTCAATTGTAACTCCTTTACAACCATGGTATCGAGGTAGGGAGGTCAGTGGATATATTAAAATTTATTAAAACAACTAAAGATTTATGATAATGAGAAGAGTTACTCATCAAATACTAAATTATAGACTTGATTGAGCACTTTCACTTGTTTAACAATTCATTTCAGGGGTACCATTTCCCAACCATTAAGTATAGAATATATAGGACACTATATGAGCTTTCTTATTTCATCATTTTTCTAGTTATTTCCCAACAACTAAGTAGATAAATAGGATATTAGATGATCTTTCTAATTTTATCATTATTCGAGTTGCTTCCCAACTATTAAATAGATATGTAAGACAACATATGAACTTTTTTATTCCATCACTACCTAGTAATGATGTAGTACTTCTATAGATTCAATTTGGCAATGTCATTTGTTAGATTTATAGTTTATTTCAATAAAATATTGGTGTCAAATTTTAAGAAAAGTGTAAATGTCATCCCGCTACCCTTTGGGACAAGAATTGATTCCATGTACATGGTCAGGTATGCATTGTACTAGTGGTAATGTTTAAAGAATCAAATCAAACAACCAATCCAAAAAAATTTATTGGCAATTTGTTGGCATCCAAGATTGGAAGGTCTAAGAATAAAAGCTAATCTAGTCTAATTAAGTTACTTTAATAAATATTGATCTTATGCAAGATATAGCCTATTCTACAAGATCAAGACTCCTATTATCTCATTAGGACTAGACTAGAAATAATAGGTTTTAACATATAAGAAATCCTCAAACCAAAGCTAATTAATACTAAGTGGAATATCATCAAATTGTCATAACTCATGGAGAAATATTTGAGAAGACAAAATGAAACTGTCTACAACCATTGAAGAGAAATTGGAACACTTTTGATTCGGTAAATATCATTAGTTTTTTATATCTCCAAACAAGAAATTTTGCTTTGTAGAAACCGAAAATCATTTTTGCAGAAATAACTAGTGAAACTAACAATAAATGCAACAAATGTCAAATTATAAGATTGAAAGAAAATTTATAATAAGCCATGAAATGGCCCCTTTAATTTTATTCCTCTTTCTATGACATTCTTTTATTGCATAATTTAACATTGTCTTTAATCAAACTTTAATGTTGTTGCTTTATTTATGACTTTGCTTTGAAGCCATCTTTCGGCATCTAAAAGCCTATAGTTTTTAAGACCATTTGGTAGGATTTGTTGCTTTGAAGCCATCTTTTGCTATCTAAAAGCCTATAGTTTTCAAGACCATTTGGTAGGATTTGTTTCATGCATTTATTGTGATAAGTAAGTCGGTACTATTTACCATGCAAATCAATGTCAAAGCAACTGAAGAATTCAATCACACAATCTCATCTCCAAATTGAGTAAAATTTTTCAGCCAAAATTAGGAAGCCACACGTGAAAATTCTGTTCAAATGCCATGCAACTAACTACTATAAATAATTGATTGTCCAATTCGTTTTAGTATGCCATAAAGTTCAGAAAGGTAGAATGCCAAAGGTTGAGTAGAAAGTTGAGTGCTCTAAATAGAGAGCTCATAACTCTAGTTAAGACATAAGCTTTGAGAGGTGAGTTCAATCATGAAAGTTTGAGCAAATATATTAATAATGAGATTTTAATGAAATAGAGAGCAAATATTCTCTGTAGTAAAGGTCAAATTAATGTACTATTAAAAGGGTAGTGTCTTTGAGAGTGAGTTTAATTTGTAAGGTATGAGTACATATACCCATTAAGTATAATAAAGTTGTTTGTTTACCTTCTTTATCTGTGGACTCAACCCCAATAATTTGATATTAAAACCGATCACAATCTAACAACTTGTCGAAAAGCATTTTATCTATTTTAGACATTACTTTATAAATTGTTGAATTTGTTCCTATTAAATGTATGACTATACAACATGGTACCTCTGTAATATCTAATATAGACAAACTTGATCGGTGAGAAAAGATAGTTTTGAAAACCAAATAGATAAGTTAAACTCTATGATTTTCTAATCTACAAAATCAAGCAGAAAGGACCAAAAATGACTGCAAATTTGGACTAAGAAAGGCAAGCAAAATTAGAAAGAATGAAATAGCAAGTCATATTCATCATGATGATAGCTATAATACGAAGATAATCTAGCATAAATAAATTATATTTGTATGTCACTATACAAATAGAGATAGAAGATTGGCATAGAGTACAACGAGTCTTATAAAAAAAAAAATGGCATGCATACATTCAGTTAAAGAACTTTGGATATAAGTTATATATTAGAGATGATGCAAGCATGATTAATATGTAGTTTCCTTCCAATAGATAAACATATAATTTTTTTTATGAGTTACTAATTCAATTAGAAACCTTGAGCTCTTAAAGGGATGAAAAACTTACATCTTGCTGCACTCTAAAACAAACCCTCACATGCAGGCACATTCTTTTTGAGATAACTATTTTGTAATTCTTATTGTACTTAACGTAATCTTGAGCATAAACTTGTAGTTTGTTAAGCATATTGCATATGCAATCTAGTTGAAAAGACTGCTATTGGAATTTAGAGCATAAACTGAGAAACAACAATTGTAGTTAGTTGCAAAAAAAATCTTATTATTTCTCAGTCATCAACTATCCCTTTTATAGAGATACACAAATTTCTCTTGAATAAAAAATACTTGAACTAGTGAAAGGTGGAACAAATCTAACAAAACTTATTTAACTAAATTGATCCATTCTAACGCTAGAAAGTTGCATCAAATGTTTTATCATTCCACACTCCACGGTGCTACTTTACTACAGATTTTGAATTGTCTTCTTATATTTTCAAACTTATTTTGAAAGGTTTTTGTAAGAAGTTTTGCAAGTTGATGATTAGCCTTACAACGAACAATTTCTTTTGACTTTTTTTGCAAGCTGATAATTAGCCTTGCACTTTTTTTAGCTTTTTATGGAAGCTTATGATTAGCCTTGTAACGAATTATTTCTTTTTATTTCTTGAGTCAAACTCCAAAATAAACGATGATATCTTTGATATATCCAAATAACCTATATGTAGGTTAAAGCGAAATAGCAATAGAAAATTTCAACACATAAAATTATTGTTCTGGGATACATAAAATGATCCCTAAAACTTTTATATGGTTCTTCACAAACTTTGCCACAACCCTCATTTTTGGACTCTTCAATTATGATAATGCAGTTAAATTATTTTAAAGATTCTTCAAAACCTATAAACTCCAAAATAACATCATTACACTCTTGATAAATGTCAAGAATCAGGTTGATATATTCTTTCATTGACTTATCAATAAGGCTCTGTTTGTTTTGAGGGAATAGGAGGGAAATGAAAGGTAATGCAGGGATAAAGTTTTTAACGTCTTGATTGATTTTTGAGGAGGAAAGGAAAGGATAGGGAGGGAAAGGAAGGGATAGGTTTAGTTATTTTTTGTTAGCTTGCTTTCCATCCAAATGTGGGTGAAAACGGAGGTAAAGGATACCAAAATCAATAAAAATTGTAGAATAATCTAAACAAACCTATTATATGTTTATAAATAGGACTTCTAAATTATGGATAAAACATAACTAACTCGTGATAGTTTACTTTCGTTTCCCTCCATAATCCAAATAAGATGGATGGATTTCGGTTTCTTCTACTCTCCTTTATTTCTTTTCCACTAAAATCCTCCCCTTTCCTTTCCTTCTATTTCCTTCAATCCAAACAATGCCTTAGAAGTTCAATATTTTTTCACAATTCCATCTCAAAATTATCAAATCTGACCAACTCAGAGAGAAATATTTTTCTTTTATTTAGATTGAGAAAAGCTCATCCTCAACTTCTTTTCAATTGGATCACAAATAACACAAGTAATTACTCTTGTGACAATGGTACATGAAATTGTTGCATGAATGCATGTCGTCACCTTGGATCATTTTTTTTTTTTTTTTTTTTTTTTTTGAAAAAAACATCAAATGAATACCAGTACAGTCTGAATAACAGAATTGGAGAAATCATTACATCGCAGAAAGAGGCCTGGATGAATAAGATGACAAGGATAAAAACAGATCATACGAGCTATGAGTGAAGATGTTATTGGCTCTTGGATGATTCGCCATTTGATACTTCTCCATTGCTTTATATCTTCATCTTTCGTTGCAAGGATTCTGCGCAACACAAATGTTTGTTAGCATATACGTTTCGATAGTCACAAAATACTCAAATCTCAATAAGTTACTAATTAACCTGAAAAATCACTTCTTTTTTTTTTTTTTTTTTTTCGAGTTTTAACTCCTCAAATCTCAAGTTAACTTTTCTTAATCTACTATTGATCATTCTTACTTCTCCAAAATTAAATATACTCTCGATTCAAATATAGCCTCGAAAAACGTATACTCGTTTTTTTTTTTTTTTTTTTTCACTTTAATCTTTATTTATGAACTGAAAAGAGTACAAAGAGAGACAGCAACCAACTACTGCCTAACAAGCTAAAGAAGCTCTACTCCTACGAATGTTCGGAACGCCTAACCGATCAAGATTAACATCACCCCTCACCAGGCAAGGCAACTCAGAAAATGAAACATATGTTGAGTTAAACCCAGCGTCCACACCCACATTGGCCAATCTATCCGCAGGCCTATTCGCTTCCCGAAAGCAATGAGAAATCTCTCTAAACAACCCCTTAGCATTCAACACCTCCTGTAAACCTCGTTGCAACTGCCATGGACACCTCACCGTTCCCCGAATAATCTGAACTAACACCAATGAATCTGATTCGATGTGCAAAGCACTGTATCCCCGATCTACGGCCAACCGAATCCCATGAAGAAGCGCCT